CACCTTGCTCGACGTATCCTCAATGCGCTCCCGGAGGGACTGGAGATGTTTGATGCTCGACTGTATCTTGCCGTCTAGGAGCGAAGCGATCGAGCTCTTCTCCAGCGAATGAACCAACTCAGACTGGTTCAGGGCGCCAAGCTTCAAGTCCAGCTTCAGCACCGAAAATTCTTGGGCGATTTGAGGGCTAACGAGCCGCGGCTCGATGGCGGACCTATTTTCAGCGGTTCTGCTCGATTCGGCTGCAGCGTCTTCGAGTGAGGTCATGGCTCGCCGGAGCATAGGGGCTGGCGCGGCGAAGGATGGTGCGGTGGCGAGGTCTCCAGCGGTCGAAAAGGTCTGGTGGATGCCAGGTCTCGAGGTCGAGTTTGAAGGTGTGTCAAGCGCAACGCGTTGCACGGACGGGTAGTGGGCGGGCCATACTGTATTCTTGTCCTGCAACTCCTTCAAAAGCTCTACGACGGTGCTGATGGCCCGGCCGAGGGTTGCTCGGTGCTGGTTGTACCAGAGTTGGTGAACAGCGCTCGCCTGGCTGCGAATGATTGGCAGTGGTATTGTTCGAGGAAGAATGGGGAATGCATCGGCCTGTCGGGCATGGATGGTGGAATCCCAAAGTCGAGGAGGCGCTGGGGCCGGGACATGGATGGGCTCATTTCTGTCGCCGACGATGCTACCGCCGTAGCCAGAATCTTGCTCGAGCATGGCCTGGAGATGGGCGGCATATTGTGGTGACGAACCGTTGCCGACAGTCATGTAACCCGGAACAGCTGGCGCCGTGGGGGAAAACAGGAGCGGCCGAGCGGCTCGAGCTCGACGTATTTTCGAATTCGCCGTCGTCATCGTTGCCGTTACGTCGTCTTCGGGCAGACTTGCCCTTGGGCGAAAAATACTCCTGGCTCATTGCGGATGGTGAGCTTAGCAGGGCAGTTCGAATGAAGCTGATGAAGAGTCGGATAGTTATTAGGCGTAGGTCATAATCGGGATCTCGAGGCCGGGTGCTGTCGGGCTTTTTCTCGTTCGCCTAGCACACGGTTTCGGATGAACTTTTGAACATTCGATTCGGGTCGAACAAACCAAAAAGTGAGCCACTTTCGCTGAGCAGGGATGGGCTCCGACAGACCCGCAGTGATCTCATGCAAACCGTTAGGCTCACGTTATGCATACCCAAAGGGATCGTTATAAAAGTGTGTTGTAGCTAGGCGGGGATTCAAGATCGCGGGGCCGCGAGCCTCAGGTACCCCTGTTGCTTGGCGCCGCATTCACTGGTTGGCTTCCAGGTCGTTGCCTTCGTTGGACGCGCGCTGCCTTGGCCACCTCCCAAGGTATGGTCCCGACGAAGCGCTGTCTTGGCCTCGCAACTCGCTCGATTCCTTCCCAAGGCACCAATCTCTCATCATCTCACCCTATTCGGCACCCGCCTGAGCCTTTTTTTGCACCCACAAACAGACAAGGTCGCCAACGCTCAACATGAATGTCAGCATCCCCATTCTCTCATTCCGACAACAAGGCTGAAAGCTGAGGCTGACCTCGCCCGCAGATCTTGGAATGGGCCTTTGGCAAGCGCATCACGCCCGCAGAGCGTCTGCGCAAGAACCAGCGACTTCTTGACAAGGCCATACGGGAGTTGGATCAACAGCGTGTCAAGCTAGAGAAGCAAGAAAAGGCACTCGTCACCCAAATTCGTCAGAGCGCGCAAAAGGGTCAAATGGGTGCTTGCAAGGTCCAAGCAAAAGATCTGGTCCGTACTAGGAGGTATGCGATGTCCTCGCCGGCGCTTCTTGACTGGCATTTGACAACCCGCAATTAGATATGTTGAGAAGTTCTATGGGATGAGGAGTCAACTCCAGAAAGTGTCCCTCCGTCTCCAGGTTCGTGCTCCCCACATGACGAGAGTCCTGGCACTGTTGGCTAATATGGAATTGTTCTATAGACATACCGCACAAACGAACAAATGATGCAGGCAATGAAAGGGGCGACAATGGCTCTCGGCAGCATGAACCGGACGATGAACCTTCCCTCCCTCCAGCGCATTGCTATGGAATTCGAGCGCGAGAACGACATCATGGAACAACGACAGGAAATGATGGACGATGTAATGGACGACGCTATGGATGTCGGTCTCGAAGAAGAAGGCGATGAGGTGGTAGAACAGGTGTTGGAGGAAATCGGTGTTGACTTGAGCCAATCGGTAGGCGTGCCCGCAGGACCAGAAACTCCTTATGTGATTTGTTTACTTACTCTATCAATGTTTAGCTCGGCGAGACACCGTCGGGGTTGCAGTCGGCTACTGTACCAGAGACCAGGATTGCTCAAGCGGTTGGTGGTGGTGGCGGCGGCGGCGGAGCCGATCCCGGCGACGATGATCTCCAAGCACGGCTTGACAGCCTGCGACGCTGAGTGCGGCCCTAGTCTTCGAACGACACGTTATGCCGTCACGACCTATTTATCATACAAATGTCGGGCCTCGGGAACAAGGCTCAGAAAACGAGCCCATCCACGAACCAGGCCAGATATCCGAGGTCGAACCCTACCGAGGTCGACTCTGGGACCGGGTTAGGCGCCGCTCCGTTCGGTGCGACGCAAACTTTTCACCACATAAGGGGAGAGATTTTGACCATGCCCGATTGGAGGAGGATAGAGAGAATGCTGGGCGTTAAGGCGTGACGGATTTGTTTTCACGGAGGACGATCTGCTGGTAACCGGCCTGTTCTTCTGGGTATCAATGACGAAGTGGGCTTGGTAACCTGTCGGGCCGGGTTGGGTAAGAGCCGAATGGAACCTGCTCCAGGCACTGGGCCCTGTTTTCTGGCCCAGTGCGATGGCGCCGTAGATTCCAGCCGTCCTCCCGTCTACTGGCCTGCAGATATTCGAGGCATATGGAGAGCTTGGTGGCAAGCCATAATATGCAAGATGCATTGTTTTGAGTTGCTTGGAAAGTAAAGCAGATACGAAGTACTGGGTGCTGTCTTACATGAGGTAGCTGCTCCTGGTCGTGTTTCTTACACCCGAGCGCTTGGCTCTTTGCCAGCTCGACTTCGGTAGCTCTGCTGGCCCCAACAGAGCAACACATCAGCATCAATTCACGAAAAGATCCACCCTCGTCTCCCTGCTGATGTCATTGTTTGTTCCAAATTCAGGGTCAACGGACCCTGTTGACTACACGAGAGGACCCGTTGCCCCACCTTGCTGAGCGTGTGCACAGCCCTGTCGTATCATGGACTGCCCCGCTGCCCGCCCTAGACCCAGCGCCGCAACAGAACCCGGAAGGCCTCAGATTGACGCAGCTGGGCCGCCGCCCCTCAGGTACTGGGCAGTCTCGGCCAAGCGCTCACTTCCATTCATGGACCGCAACGCCATCGGGTTGCCGAGCGGACTCGTAGCTTCTTCCCATTTCTAAGTACCTATTTTCTAGCCATCCCACAGATTATACTTTTGCCCCTACCAAACACACACTACTTTGTCGCAAATATATAGGTAATCAAGCTTGTGCGCGCTTCCACAGAGTTCCCATAGCCTCTGCATTACATCATCCGACCTCATCATCAGACCCCTCATCCAAAACCAGGCACCCAAGCCACCAACCGCTCCAACGACACGGGCCATCCGATCGGACTCGAGACAATATCCTTAACCCGGCGGTAACGCCCACAGCAACTGCCTCTGCGGATTGGATAGCGACGAGCGGGGCGTTTTGCGTTCTACGATAATCGTCGTTAACGAACCGAACCAACTTGGACAACTGAGCATCACTCTCTCTTAGGCCGCCCCTTCAGATTCCAACCTCCGGTTTTGGCGCTTCGGTCCGACATCATTACCCTTCGGCGATCCGATCTGTCGCGAGCACCTTGCGTAGCTCTCCCGGCTTTCGATTTCCTATCCTCCCAACACTTTTTCCACCCACCAACCTGGCAGGCAGCAAGCGCCGCAGTCTCTCCTCTCAGGGAGGTCTGCTGAATAGGATGTTTGGCTCCAACTCTGGAGGCTCGAAAACTGAGAAGCCCGAAACAAGCGCCGCCCCCGATCCGTCGCCCGCCGCCCCGAAGGATAAAGACGATAGCAAGTCGCCGTCCCCGGACAAGGAACCCGGCGGCGCTGACCGTTCCTCTCCCTCCCCGGCCAAATCATCGGACCAGGCCGCTAGCGGCGAGAAGCGCAGCGGAAATGGTAGCCCTCCGAGTGCGGGCAGCTCGGCGGAGCAGAAGAAACGGCGGAGCACTGGGGTGAGCGGCAAAGCCAGCAGCCTAATAGCCCAAGCCAAGAACACCCTTTTTACTCAAGTCGGGACTCGTGCCAACAACGATCTGGGTGCTGACTCAAAGTCGTCTAATCAGACTCCGCTGCAGAAGCTGGGCAAGCAGGACCAGGCGCTTGCCGTGCCCCAGGGCCAGCACAACAATGCCGCTGGCGAGTCGCTTCCGGGCGCTCGATCCACCTTCCGAGTCGGCGTTTGGGAGGATAGGAACAAGAAGTGTAGACGAACCATGGAGGACACCCACGCCTTCCTCTACAACTTCCTCCACACCCCAGCGCCCGCGGTCGGGACAGAGAGCGGTGGCCAGGCTCAGAATCAGGCCAAAAACGCCGTCGTTGCCGGCGAAGGAGACGACGAGCCTGGCTCGAAACAGGACATGATAGAAACCGACAACGGGTATTTCGCCATCTTCGACGGGCACGCGGGCACATTCGCGGCGGATTGGTGCGGGAAGAAGCTGCATATAATACTGGAAGAAGTCATCCGGAAACACCCGAACGCTCCTATACCGGAGCTCCTCGACCAAACTTTTACCGCCGTCGACGCACAGTTGGAGAAATTACCCCTGAAAAACAGCGGTTGTACGGCTGCCATTGCTGTGCTTCGCTGGGAAGACCGAGTGCCGAGTGCCCTATCCGCGACCGGATCCCAGGCCATTGCGCCCGCTCTCGCCAAAGCAGCAGAGGAGGCTTCCAAGTCTGAGGATTCGTCCACCCTCGCAGCTCCGGAGGCAACTCATGCGAAGCTAAAGAGTGCGGCCCAGAGGCAGCGTGTCCTATACACCGCCAACGTTGGGGATGCTCGGATCATTCTGTGCCGTCAGGGGAAAGCACTGCGCTTATCGTACGACCACAAGGGTAGCGATGAGAACGAGGGGAAACGTATCACGAACGCCGGAGGGCTAATATTGAACAACCGCGTCAACGGTGTTCTTGCTGTCACTCGCGCGCTCGGCGACACGTACATGAAGGACCTCGTAACCGGGCACCCCTATACCACCGAGACCGTAATCCAACCGGACCTGGACGAGTTCATCATTATTGCCTGCGATGGAGTGAGTGATTTTTAAAACTTGCATGGGGAATAAACAACGTGCTAACTATTGGAATAGCTTTGGGACGTTTGTTCGGACCAAGACGCAGTCGATCTCGTCCATAATGTGCAGGACCCAGCCGCGGCAGCCAAGCTTCTGGTCGACCATGCCCTCTCGCGCTTCAGCACCGACAACCTGTCTTGTATGATTGTCCGGCTTGACAAGCAAGGTCTCCTTGAAAACCAGAACAACAAGGAGAAGGCCATCGGCGTGGAGGGCGACGCTGCCACCGTCTCAGGCAAGGTCAGCGAGGCGGAGAAAATCCTCAAGACCACGCAAGCCAAGATTGCAGAGGCTGGCGGCGAGCCGGTGGGTGTCTCGGCGAGCAACAGCGGAAAGGGGCACGACCCCTCCCAGACGGAAGACGGAGATAAGGGCTTCGTACCGACGGTGATTGAGGGCCCGGTGGAGGAAGAACCGGCCTCGATTGAAGAGTCGCCCGAGGTGGCCGTGCCCGTTTTGGAGGACATGCAGGTGGACTCCCCGGCGGACACGAACAACGACGCGGCGCCGAAGAGTACCTAGGGGAGGCCAGCGTTCCTGCGTCGTCTACAACCCTCGAGATGGTTTGGGACTAGGTGAGGGCTTGGTTTTTATATGAAGAAGTTCGCTCTATTTGTACGGCAGAGTGCTCTGGCGGAGCAATGTTTCAAGCAGCTGGGTAACAGGGAGGCAAACGTTTATTGTCATGTTTACCATTGCAGGCGGGGAGTAGGATAGCACGGGCATCGCTTTTTTTTTGAGAAGGTCTATTTCCACTATAAGGGTCGGCTATTTCCACTACAATACATCGCGTCTGCCCTCACTTTTTCACCGCCTCCCTGAATAGGCAAGCGGTGAGAGAGTTTCGCTGCCTGACCCATCGTCATCGCAGCCCTGCGGTCGCTCAATTACTCCCAATCGCTGGAATCGCTGGGATCGCCCAACAACGACGTTTTCGCTCACAATGTCGGTTCTTTATGTCTATCTAGTCTGCTCTATGGCCTCTGGCTGGTCAGAATCATTGTCTAAGCTCATAGTTAGTAGTTAAAAGTGATACGTTTCGATAGAGCTCAAGAGCTCACCAAGGCGCCCAAAATGCAGTGGGTATGTGTCTCTGAGCCTACTTGCTCCGTGGCGCGATTGACTTGAAAGTGGTGAGTTGGTGAAGGAGAGAAAGGCAGTTGAGGTGGGGTGGCAGAATAGATAGGGACCTGCAGAGGTGGCAGAATCACTGATGTACCTTTTTGTCAGGGTTAGGGTTATGTATAGAGATTATAGTGGAAATAGCCAAGCCTTATAGTGGAAATAGACCTTCTCTTTTTTTTTCTGCAGCATGACAAGGGCAGCTCTGAGAATACCTGTTTACCAGAATCAGGAGCACGTAGGCGGAACTGGATTCCAATGTTTTGACTTGCTTGTTAGTTGTAGGCTAGGTGTAGGGGTGCAGCGCTGGATGGCGGTATTGTGACTTTGGAAAGGCTTTCTTCTTCTTTTGGCTTGATGTTTGTTTTGAGGCGGTTTCTGAGCAATGCTGAAGGCTACCTGTATGTGTGTGTTGTAAGTGCGTTCCTGCAAAGGCATCTAACCGCCCTGAAGTTTCTATGGCAAATCGGCATAACCATATAGTTATTATATACTGATAACCATTTGAATCAATGATTGTCATCGAGGGGTAATCAGCTGGCCTTGTTATAAGGCTTCCTTTGCCACCTCGAGGTAGTAGGTGCGGTGTCCATACGGGGAAAAGGTAGCTAGCATATTCACTGCCATGTAAACTCTCGGCCTGAGTTTCTGGCGAGATGTTGAGTGAGGGCTGTTTTGAGACTTTCGTCCTCTCTAATCCTGGCCACACGCCATCATTAACCTCACACACACAAACCCCCTCCATATTAGATCATGGGTGTCTCCCGTAGACACGACTAGCCAGTCAGCATCTGTCGATTTGCAGTCGGAGATGCACGGTCGTCTTTCATGTCAAAGCGTAGCGGTCCTGCCACGAGCCGGAGGAGCAGTCTGGCTGGGCCCTTCGCTTCACCCGGGACCAATGAACCTTGGCCCATCCAAAGGCGTGAGTGTGGCAGCGGTACCCTTGACGGACACTCACATGAGAAGAGACCTCGACGCATTTCTTTGGCCTTCTGGTTGTATTTTATTTTATTTTATTATCATTTTTATTCTCGGATGGCAACTGACCCCTTGATAATGTATCTCCGAGAAGAGTGATAGATAGTCTGTTCAATAAGCTGGTGACTGCTCGACTCTGGAGTTGCTGGCCCCGTCCACTTGGAGAAACCCCCAGTGCCCCCGTGCCCCATCTTGTCCATCCAGCATTGGAAGGCCTGAAACGAAGCTCGCAGGTGTGGAGTTTCCCAAAGCGATTAGATCGCGACAAGGGGAATTGCATGCTCCACTGTGGGAGGGACTTGTCGGATAGGGTAGGGAAAGGGAAAATAAATCCGAGACAAGATGTTGGAAACAAGGAGAATCGATGATGAAATGCATGACATGCATAGTGGATAACGAAAAGTTGAATTTGCATGATTCAACACGCAATGCCAGGTCCAGATTTCAGTGTTTTTGATGGCAAATATTATTGAAATCTGCACAACATGGCGAGCCCCCCTGCCCTTGTTCCTGGCCACGGCCCCACCCACCCGATGCAAGCAACAGCAACTGGCAGGGCCTTGGGCAGCATGCACCCCTGTCACGCTACCTAAATATCGCACCGAGCAAATGGAGGAGTGCAGCACCCAATTCGCGGCTGCATTTCACCTCCTTTCGACCATCCCCTCATTCCCCCAACTTTTTTCGTCGAACCCCTTTCCAAACGTCTGGTTCGCGAGTCGGTGCATCGAGAGGACCGTGACAGCTTTCTGCTGCTGTGACCTCGTTTCGAACGCCCAAAGCAACCCCAACCCACACTCATTATTCCCTACTGTTTCTTACTCTTCTTTTTCGGGTTTTGCTCTCTTCTTTGTCAGTTGCCTTACCAACTTTTTATCTTCTTTTTTTCCCTGAACAGTGCTACTTAGCTATCTGCCATTGGTCGTGCGTTGTCGTGCCGCTACTCACAGACCGACAACATCAACAACACTTGATTACGGCCTGGAGCTCCACCTACTGTTTCAAAGACGGGAGTGCCTGATCTTCAACACCGACCTGCAACCCTCTGCGAACCCGTTCCATGTTTCTGGCGTGCCTCAGCTGCGCAGCTTCTACGCCTTCCGACGGGCCGATCGCTCCATGTAGGCTCGGCTGAGAGAGACGCAAGTCCAGCCTTGCCGATTGCCCCGAAATCGGTGCTGTTTCCGACTGATCACCGAACAATACCGTCATCGTCTGTGCAGTTGCAGACAAACAAAGAGCCAGGATTGGTGCGGCCAAGGTGGTAGCCCGAGATGTCGCTGAATGGGTTGGATGATGAGCGAGTCAAGGCGGCGCACGAAGCGGCAGTTGCAGAACCGGGAGGATGGTATGTCCTACCCTTCCATTGTTGTTGCTTTTGATACCCGTTGTGCGACATGACTACTCGGAGCATCCCTGGGCTGGCAGCTCCCTGTTGTACTGTGTGCCAATATTTTGGGGCTAATGTGCTGACCGTGACTGTGAAATAGGTTCTTGCTCAAATATGCCAGCCGTGATGAAGTTGAACTGTTAGGTCGAGGTAATGGTGGCATTGTCGAGATCCGTAACAACATTGCGCAGTATGAGGACAAGTCGCCACTGTACGGCTTCCTCAGATACAGGCGTCGAAATGTCATTGTCAAATATCTCCCTGAGAATTGCTCCAGGTTAATCCAAGGCATGTCCTCCCCTAACCTAGGCCGCTATCCCTTGAACACAGAAGCTCACTTCATCTCTTTGCAGCCCGGGTGACTGTCCATTTCGACGAGGTCTGCGACCGCTTCTCGCCCCACGACACTACCTTTTCGATTACCGAAGCGAAAGAGTTGAAGGATACTAAGCTGTCAGCTGCCTGCTCACTCCATGCTGCATCTGGCTCGACATCTTCTTCGACAAGTTCACTGCGTCGAAGGCGGTTAATGGAAATTACAGAAGAAGAGGAAGAGGAAGAGCGGGAAAGAAAGCGCCAGTCACTCGTCAAAGAGGAGGGCCGCCCAAAATCATCCTCGGCGCAATCTGGACCCCCCATTAAACTGGATGCGGAGCTTGCCAGCTTGCCCGGGGCTTCGCAGTTCACGAACGACCTTGAACCCCCACAATTTATGGGTGTGCCCCGGCCTTCTTCTCCAGCAAGATCCTTTGATGAGAGCTCACGGCGCATGTCCTCGCAATCGTCACGAACCGATCTCTACCCTTCTACTACTTACCCATACTCAAAGCCACGCGTTAAGCTTGGGCCAAGGCCTTCCGCAGAACCCACTGGCCGCCCGAGATCATCTGCCGGGGGTTCAGCCCACCGAGTCGCAACAGTTCCAGCTGGCCTCAAGTCTATGTCCAAAGGTCCTAGAAAGGGTCGCTCGCATTCCCAGAGCCAGGATGACGAAGCCCAAGAACAGGCAGAAGATACTTTGTCGCTGATCAAAGTAGCCGAGGCTGACACGAAGCCTTCCGAAAACGGATCCCAACCCCAGGTCGATAGCGCCGCGACCGACGCGCCAGTGGACACGATGCCTCCACCCAAGATCGACATGCTTGCTCCGGCCCCACAGCCGACCAAAAAGAACACCATGACTCCGGAAAAAGCTCGGCTCCTGAAGGCTATGAAATTAAGGGAGAAGAAGATGATGAGCCTTCAGCCAACACTCGACGTTCCAAGCACCGATATACCATCTGCTCCTAGCACACCGGGGCATCCGGACGACGAGAACACAGATACCGCAATAGCAGAAAAAGTGCCACAGGTGGACGAGACCCCGGCCGAAGGCGATGCGCAAAAAGAGGAAGCTCCTGCGACCAATTCTGACTCTGCAATTGATGTCGGAACGGATCATGCATCTGTAGATACTACCATGGATTCCGTTCCTGCGTCGCCCGCAGCGACTTCGGAAATTGGCGATTCCACGAAGGCCTCATCACTATCCGACTCGACGGATGAAACCATCCTTGCCAAAGATGAACAGCCGATTTCCGAAAAAGAACAAGACGTGGCCGGCGATGACAACAAACCAGTGGCCTCGGCCTCAAAGGAACCCATTGGCGATGCGGAATCAAGGCAACCTGATAGAGAGTCTCAAGCGACAATCACTGTACCCGACAAGGCGGACCTTCCTACACCGCCCGAGCCGCAGGTCGAGCAGGCCGCCGTCGTGAACCCCCCCACGAGCGATGCCCCTCCTGCGAGATTGCCGACTCTCGAAGCATCCGAAGTGCCCGCTCAGCCTGGCGTACCCGAGAATGACACAAACGACGTGATTCCAACCGAGGCAGCTGAAGCATCGGTGCCAAATTCCAACTTGGCTGAGGAAGACAAATCCGCTAGCGAGGGAAACGCGCCGCTACCGCAGATTCACATTCCTCTTTCCAAATTCTCCACACAAGAGACCAAGTCTCCCACAATGGCTGCAAACCAGGATGTTCCCTCGATTATCGCCCAAGCTTCAGATGTAGACTCGTGGCGTGTTGGGGAGTCGGCACCCCCCGTTCCGGAGAAGGATGACGTCGGGACTGCAGATGGAGATTCAAAACGGCGAAAGCTTCCAGACCCTATCCAGACCAATCTGGACGCCCCGGACAACGACAAGCGGCGCTCCGTTATCAGCATCCTGGATAACGACGGCTTCATGGACGAGCTGCAATCGGCAACCGTGCAACAGGCAACGCCGATTACCGTGTCCAAGTCTCCGATTTCTCCCTTCTTCGGTCTCGACCAGCCTTCCAAGAGACCTGGTGGTGGTCCGGACGACACCTCTCGGTACGTGAGAACGGTTTCGAACCCTGTCCGCAATTCTTATCTGGGCGGTGAAGTGCCGTCTGGCCCGGTCAGATCGGCATCATCTGGCGCTGCATATCTACAAAAGCCCTCTGCGTCGGACGCGAAACCCAAGAACGCCAAGCTCGGTTCGAGCATTTCACAGCGGATCAAGGCGCTGGAAAAGCTTTCTGTCAATGCCCCCGGCGTGGAGACGGTGACGACGCCCAAGGAGCGTCCCGCGTCGACCTTCTTCGCTGTGCGCAAAACCAGTGTCCGCGAGGGCTCGCGACCATCATCCGTGGCCGAACGGGCGAATTCGATGACGAGAGGCGCATCGCCGTCCCCTCCAGCCTCAAGGGATTCGTCGTCTCCCGAGGCCACGCGGAACATGGGGCGCGGCCGGTCTGGATCATTGGTGAATCGGCTGTCCATGTTTGAAGGAGGGATGCCTCCCAGAGGCAGGCCTGAGTCCGTCCAGGTCACGGCCCGCATTGTCCGCGATCCGAGCCAGCGGTTTCCAAAAGGCCCCGAACCGAAGGGGTCATCGACAGAATACGGCAATCTGGATTTGAAGCAGTCGCCGTTGCTAGTGGATGTTCAGAATCACACTGACTCGCGGAGCCCTGTCCGGCCTCCCAGCGTCATGTCTAACCGCACCCTGGAACGCGAGATCGCAGATCAGGCGAAGCAGACATTGCTGGAAAGGCGGCTATCAAAACAATCCCGGGATGGCGAGAGGGACAGCGCAACAGCCGAAACTACCGAAGGCCGCCGCCCTCGACGGCGGTCGTCTCTATCAGTTGTGAAGGACTTCATCAAAGACAAGACGGAGTCGATGATGGGCGCCAAGTCGCCATCCACGGATAACCTGGGTAACGGGATCTCCACTGGTCTGGCTTCTCCTATGGCTTCTCGGCCGTCTTCTCGTGCCCGATCAGTCAACCAGCCCGGCTCCCTGGCTCGTCGTCTCAGCGTGAGCAGCCGGCGCTCGTCAATTGACCAGAACAACCCGAATCTATCCGTTACGTCGCTGCCTCCTCCCCGGACTGCGGACTTGAGCGCTGAGTCAGATGCCGAGGCGAAACTTGAGAAGAGGTCCGGTTCCAGCGGCCCCGCCAGCCCCAAGAGCAACCGTGCTTCCCGGTTTATGCGCCGCCTCTCCAGCACCCTTGTGACCGGTAGGAAGAATACCGCTCCTTCCATCTCGCCCACTGTGGCCGAGGAAAACGCTGCCGAGGTTGAGGCTGCCTCCAGGGGCAGCACAGCCGTTGGCACAGCGCCCCAAGCTCCGCCTAGCATTGTCGCGTTTATGGGTGATGTGAATGTCCAGTTCCCGGATAACCTTTTGTGGAAGCGCCGGAGCATCTGCCTCGATAGCCAGGGCTTTCTGATCTTGAGCGCGGTGCAGGGTACGGCTATGATGCCCACGGCCATGTCCGGCAAGGACAGGAACGGCGCCATGGTCAAGCGGTACCACATGAGCGACTTCAAGGCCCCGTACGCGCCCGATGTAGAACTACAGGAGCTACCCAACAGCGTTGTGCTGGACCTGGTTGATGGTAGCGGACTGCAAATCGCCTGCGTCGACCGGGCGGGCCAGATGAGCATTCTGCACAGTAAGTCTGCTGTATTGCTTGAAGTGGAAACAGTTTAAGCTAACGAGCCGTTTAGTTCTTCAGCAGGCTCACCGTACCCACGCGAACTTCTGATTTTGATCACCTTTTCTCATTCCCTAAGGTCCGTCATGGGGCTTGTTTACTACTTACTACATGGCGAGCAATGGCTTCCCTTCGCGGTCTGGCAACCAACCTATTTCCTTCCTGGGTCGATGACCCTTGTCTCATTACATCCGACTTTTGCCATCTACGAACTTTATTCCCTTTATACGAAATCTTCACACCATGTTCCCGATATTGGATCATGAATCTTTCTTCTCTTGTTTCTCATCGAGAGAGGCTCGACAACAGAACGGTCCCCTTTTTTCCGACCGATTTCTCATTCTACTTTCCATGATACCACCATCTCTGTGACGGCTTTTCAGCACTTTCATTACTTCTGTTGGACTTGTTCTATTTCAGTCGAGGATAGGCGCGGAGACGGGGCAGTCTTTTTTCCCCCTTGTGTTGGTGGTAGATAAAGTAGAAAAACGGAAGGGGTGGCGGCGGGGCCGGGGTGAGCCGGCCAGTCTAGTTCATACCTTGTACAATGTCGTGTCCTTGGCGGCAGTACGTTTGCTGTACATAGATAGATAGATAGCAACATGTGGTGTGGTGCTGAGATTTGCTTTACTGGGTGATTTTATCGTAAATGAGTGGTATAAGGGTGTTCCCGCTTCGCTCATCAGTCATTTGCTAGAAATGGGTGTTAATTATGTGTACGAGGTGAAGTAAATGGATGATCATGTGTGAAATGTTTCAATCGTTCTGATTCTTGGGAGATGACAGTCATATCATGATATACATCTTTCGTCCATGCCATCCACCATCCGAGAATGCATCCGCTTTTCCCCTGCCTCCAGAAGTATGAAAAACAAAGACCATGTCCAAGTATTAAGACATGACGGGTTACCCCCGGTGTTCCGCCTCGGGACCGGATGCTGACAATATAGTACATGAATAGGCAGAGGAAGATGATGGGGATAAAGGGGATATCTCGTGGCGAGAAGCTAGCCGGTAAAGGTGCGCAAAGCAGTGAAGAGCTTTTGTTGCTCTCCCTCTCCCGCCCAAACAGCGACGCCATGATCTCAAGGCCAAGCCTAGTAGATAGACCGTTAAGTAGTGAATCCGCAGTAGCTCAGTTGGTAGACGAGAGCGATTGATTCTCACTCCTCACCAACCACACCCATCACGTCCTTCCCTCCTCCCATTCCATCCACCCCCACCGGGGGGGAGGCTGACTGAGAAAGATTACTTGGGCTGAAGGGGTGGGGGGTTGAATCAAGCTTGACAATTGGCAACAAAACTAGGGAGCGCATGGAGCGGGCCCCGCTTAGTC